TTTCAAGCTTGAAAATCCTATGTTACCTCTTGGATATAGTAAAATTGTAAAATTGAGAAAGAAGCTAGGTTATTAGAGTTTGGGTCCCGTGTTTGTTTGTCAGCTGCCGTGCTCTAATCAAGAATTTGTGCGACGATTCAAAATGACGATGGAGCAGTGTGATTCGGCCCTAGAATTACACTTTTTTAGAGAGTATTCCTGCGAATTCAAAGATTCTCTTCAGTTTTTTCTTGAGATCTGTGGATTTGATTTATGTGAATGCTGAAAAGTGTGGAACTTTGGTTTGATTGCTGGCAAGATTCATGCTGTGGGCTGATATTACATTCGCGAATTCAGGACTGGCGTTTTGCTTTGAGGCACTTCCAAGATGTCGATCCTTCAGAAAATCCAGGACATTGAGGATGAGGTGAGTTATCAACTAATCAATTTACAAACTTGACGTGTTTCGGGGAATGCGATTATTTTATGTACATGTAAAAATATCCTTCTTTTTCTATGTAAGCGAAGTCGTAAGGAAACTTTGTTTGATATTATCTTGTTGACCACTAAAATTTGAAACTTTGTAAACTTAAAAATGTCAGTTTCTACATTTAATTACCGAATTTCGCTCATGCTACACTTTTGCTATCACAATTAGCAAGTACAACAAAATTTTGCATCAGTCTCTTGTACGAAGAACACCCATAAAACTAATACTTGCCTCAACAAGTTTAATTCACGTAACAAATGGCTTTATAGAAAATTTAAGAAGTTCAGCTCATTGAAAACAGGGATAGGTTTAAATTTTGAAGATTCTAACTTTTGGAAGAGCCGTTTCTACTAAGTCATATGTTTGAGGTTGCTCAAGCCGCGTCTAGCTTGCTTGTAAAACAACCTCAATCTATGCATGATATGAAGTGGCATAATCTGCTTTATCGAATAAAGCTATCTTGAGTACAATACCTGTCGACTTTAGATGGCACGTACCCAAAAGAACAAAGCCACTAATGCTCACTTGGGTATGCTCAAAGCAAAACTGGCGAAGTTGCGCCAAGAACTGATCACACCTAAAGGTGGTGGTGGAAGTACTGGTGAAGGATTCGATGTGGCCAAGACGGGAGATGCTCGCATTGGATTCGTAGGTACGTTGACATGGTTTTGCAATTGCTTTCCGTTTCTTGAGGCTTTGCTCTTTGGTTAGTAATTTCTTTCATTTTCCACACTATTTATTGGCTATACCACGTTTTGCTGCTTTCCACTCTTGTTTTAGTAGTCTTGAAGTAGTGAGTAGTTTTGGAGACTTATCACATTTTATAGTAACCAGCAGAAGTTATTCTGGAATTTATCAAATTCTATCTTAAAGTTTTAC